GAGAACATTATTTCTGTGCTGCAGCCACATTAAAAGGTAAAAATGCTTTTTCTTTGCTACTACCCACATGTCCTCACACAGCGTTCTGGTGTTTGTCAGTCCACTCCACTCTGAGTGTTTAGACTGAGATGATCTCCACAAAATGTTACTCTTTACTCTTTCGTCATCAAAGCTCTTACCGATCCTCAGCTCAAAGTTGTTGAAGGAGTGCTTGTTAATCTCTTGGATGCTCTCGTTGAGGGCGATGGCGAAGTCTGCCAACGCACACAGGTGACCCCATTTATCTTCACATTGCTGTGGGAGTGAGAGCAGAAGGGTCTGAGTCAGCTGAACATCAGGACCAGCTGGAGGCGCATCAGAAAACTCTTTTCACTGCCGTGGATACTGAAGCCTTCACTCGAGGTTTTAGACGATCTAATGCTTCCACTCGAACAGATGCGACTGGCTGGGATCTGTCATTATTTTTATTTATTCGTTTAATTACTTCCACACAGCCTGAAAAGTCCTCTGATATTTTCTAGTACTTCTGCCTCAAAATACTAAATTACAAGAAGCAAAATAGTTCACATGTGGTGCTGACTCCAGCCATGCTGCAAAACTTTGATCAAACAACCAATTTTCAGCAAAGTTACACTTAACTAGCTAACAGATGGCGCCCTTAGTGTGAGGATCCTAACCAGCATGTTTGGAGAAATGAAACGGCAGAATGTTAGAAATCAGATTCATTAAATGTTCGTAGCGATGTCTCAGTGTTTTGAGAAATTATTTTTAAAACCACTTAATTACCTTTTATTTTCATTTAATGTATACAAATTATTTTGTTTATGTAAAGTAAAAAAAACAGCCGACCCCAAAGGTCTCACCTGCTTCTCAGGCGACAGACCAGAGACGGCCATGTAGGTGCTGCCAATCGTCTTGATCTTCTCGATGTCCTGAAATCGGTCTTCACCCAGCAGCTGTAAAGTCAGAGAGACACTTTGAACATTTGTGTTTGCTTTCTTGTTGCAAATATTTTACTTCCGAAGCCACAACAAGTGAAGAAGCTCCCGCTCTGTTAATCCTTCCATCTGCCACCGCCTGTCATGGATAATGGAGTTTGGGCTCCGTGATGTTTTCTCTCCCAGGAACCTTTTTAAATTGAATTAAAAAACTGAACTGAACATCGCTGTGTTTCTGCTTTGGCACTATGTGAAGATAAGTTGAGTAAATTACCAACAGCTATTTCCTCCTCACTCTGTCAGCCTCTGTCTTTGTCAGAGCTGCTCTTGGCTGGTAAACACACAAATCCTCAGCAGGCAGCATTTCATCAAAGTCGATACCTGTTCCAGCTTTCTCATTTTGTTTTTCCATGCCACTCTACTATCTGGCAAGTAGCAGTATTTGTTTGCATATTGCAATGCTAAATAAAACCACAAATTACAACAAGATTTGAGACACCAAACATGAAATGCTCTCCACAGACACAGCGGTTAAAACGAGAATAAACGTACCGGCGTTACGTATTTAAAACACAAAATATGAGGAACTGTATTCTGTTACAGTTGCCGTTTAAATAGGTGATAATTAGAATTCCGTTACTTTGTTGCAATAAATGGATTCCACAGCGGTCTTTTCTTGTTTCATATATCAGGCTATCCCCTCTCTAATTTTGTTAATGCCATGCATTACCAGAAACCCAAAAAAAACACGCAATAAGAGGCTCTAATGTAAACGTCCTATTAATGTTGGTGGTGTCAGTTACACAGTGGACCCAGAGCCAGCAGGAATGCTTTTCTTACTTGGAAATTCCGACGCCACTTCACATTTAACCTCCTAGGACCTGCGTCCA